GGACAGAGGTCTGTCTTTTAAAGGGGCCCTGTGTACCTGTGGCAGACTAGGCAACCAAGAACCCTGCGCTGACCAGGGTACTGCCTGGGTGCATTCTGCCAGGGACCAGGGGCAGGCCAGCATAATGCCTGAATCCTTACTATTACCTTCGTGCTAGATACCATTTTTAAAACTCCCAGAGCCAGAAAGAGATGGAGATGGAATTATTTTCCTTGATTAAGGTTTTAATACATAGGGGGAAATTCCATAGGGTTGTCATAGTTAATACAGGTTTGATTCAGATGTATAGTTTTGCCAAGTTTAGTTTTATCACATCTAAAACTATTTGTATAGAACAAATGTCAAATAGAGACTACTTCTCAAAGATGTGCAGGAAAATAAAAATAATTAACTTTGACCTAAGAAAGATGTTAACAGTGCCTGAGATTGAAGGTAGTGTTAGTGAACCTCATACTACCACTCGGCATAGCTGTTCCTAAACATCTTGTCTCAATGTTTAGATGAGAGATATCTGGTGTCATTCTAATCCATGGCAAAGGCCACCCATAAAGCCCTCTGTTTCACTCTCCTGGCTCCAGGTCCCCTAGTTCCAGTCCTATCCTCAGAGGCTGAATGTGAATTATGAATGCTTGACTGATGGCTCAGGCTTATTACTCACCAGCTGTTACACTTGAATTAACACATTTGCCTCAAGTCCCACTTGCTATAGTCTGGGCTCCAGACGGGCCTGTGTGGCTCTGTTCTCACGAGGTGGTGCTCTGCTGAGGGCCTGCTGTCTCCTGCCTGAGGAGGAGGCCCTCCTTGTGCACATTACTCTTAACTTTGCGCTATTTTTGTAACCACTGTGTCACAATAGAACCCTTTTGTTACCAAGTCTTGAACAGGCAGGCGGGTTCCTCCTTGTTAGACTTGCCTGAGAAGCCATGGCACTTCCGGTCTTGTTAAGTCCTTTGTTTTTGTCTACCCTTCCCTCCCCACTGAGCACACTAAGTCCTTCTTGTATTTTAAATCAGAATCTTTTCTTGATCAATCACAGTGCAGGTCTGATAAACAGGTCTGAACTCTTCTCCCTTTTCTCTTGGTTGGTGGTTCCAAGACTGATACTCAAGTCTTTTCAAGCTAAACATGCACCTGACCACTGGCCTTAGTGACCAATATGTTTCAATGATGGTGGTACATTTTGTCTTTTGATAAATCCTCCCTAAATGTGATGAATTGTATGTCTCCTAAGTATAAAAACAATTTAGTTTCAGTTCCATATTTTAGTTATCCTCCGTCTGACCCATGTTAGTGTACAGTGGAGTGGGTTTGTCTCACTTAAAACTCTTTCCTCCTCTTCCTTGACCTTACGGTACTCGTGCTCATGGGATTTCTTCTGGAACCTCCATTCTGGCCCATTGTTATGGCCTTTCTTCATGTGTTAATAATATTCTGCCTCCTACAGAATAAGGGTCTACTCCAAAATTCCTCTGTTAGATACCAGCTTAGGACATACACTTAGGCTCTGATATCAAGAGGGGATCAAGAAATGGCCTAAGCTGGCAATAGTTTAAGTCACCTGCAGGCTCCAGAGTTGGTCTGAATGAGGGGCACTGACAGCAAATGAAAAGTCTGGGACTGGCTGGAGAACAAGGAGGGGGGTATGAGAAAAGCTGCTATTCTGTGTGCAGTGGGCAACGTAGTGCTCAGTGTGAACACATGCTCCACCCTCTCCAGCAAGGGTGGGGAGCACTGTTGGATGGAGATCCATGGGTGGGCTGGACTTTCACCCAGCCCATGAGGATCATGTAGCTTTGAGGAGGGAACCTGGAAGTTACTGAAGAGGTGCTTTTGCAGGTTTCAAGAAAACAAGCAAAGAAAATATTGCTGGGAACACGACATAAAAATCGCTGGTGCCTTGGTGATGTGGTACGCCCTGAAATCCCAGCACCCTGGGGGCAGAGACAAGAGGGCCATAATAGAAGAACTTTCCATTCTCACCCTCTGGCCTCCTCACCTGGCACAATGAAATCAATTCCTCCTGGGATCTTATTATGCCCACCCACCATCCTCTTCATGTCTACTGCTTTATATATTTAACATACTCCTTGGGGCTCAGTTCACATTGATACACCGGGAACTGTAGCTTATAGCAGGAGCATAGCATAGCTTTGTACTGAAGCTGTTTAAGATTAGGGTACATTTCTCTGGTGTTTATCTGCTATTCCCTTCTAAAGGAGAAATCTTCTGAGGAACTTAACTATATCCCCATTAGACTTAATTTCTTTCTTTCCTTTTTTTTTTTTTTCGAGACAGGGTTTGTGTAGCCTTCAATGTTCAAAAACTCACTCTGTAGAACAGGCTGGCTTCAAACTCACAGAGATCTGCCTGCTTCTGTAATACCTCCTGATTGCTGGTATTAAATACATAGACCACCACTGCCCAGTTCCCCAGTGAACTTTTTAACAGTCACTTTCTAACACTCCACCTATATGAATAAAATGCCAAATCAATTATTGAAACTAGGAATCTTTGCATCTGAATCTTAGTAAGACAAGCATATTGAAGTTAGTCGGTATTTCTTTTAAACAGCCTTTAGTTCTTAGGCTTCCCTTTATTTATGTTCCTTGAAGCATAGGTATTGAAGATCCTTGGACAGTGTAGGATGGTACTCCCTATAGATGGCTCAGGCTGATAGCATCTCTGTGGTGTGCCCAGGCATAGACCCTGTCCTCCCTGGTTTCTATCCAGTGACAATCTGGTGCAGGGCCCTGAACAGGTTTGGTGATCTGCGTACGTGGTGTGGTGTGTGCAGTGTATAGTTGGTGTGTACAGTGTGTCTTTTATTAAGAAGCAAGCTGTCTACCCTTCTGTAGTCCTAGTCCTAGCTAATTGTTTGGACACAGAAGAGGTAGTTAGTTTAGAAAAAATATCCCCTCATGAAGTTCTTCACGACCTCTGCGAGTGATGCTATTAAGAGAAATGCATACATCGGAATGACAGATTCCATGTCATCTTTCCCTTTCATAATAGCAAAAACTTTAAAGGATATGTCTCTAAAGTTTTCACTCAGGGTTCAAGAGAGATGCTACAATAAGTGAAGGGACTAATATCTGAGGTTAAAGAAAAATGATCTACTCACATGTTCTTTCTATCCATGTCTTTTTGTTATTATTGTTCTACCACACCTCTTGGGTATCAGTACGCATGGATTTACAACCATAATTCCTGTGTCAATGCAATGTGAGGCTTGAGTTTTTCAGGGTCACCAAGGTAGATAAGACTTACACACAGAGCAATAGCTGTCATCTGTCATTCATGGCAATAGGTAGGAGGGGCTTGGTTAGTGAGTTTCCTCGATGAGGTCAACTAAGCATTAAACATCAAGGGAATCTAAAAGGGAGCAATCCTGTGCTTAGCTTCATTCTTTCAGTGTGCCTAAGTATTAGGCTAAAACTTTACTGATCAGCAGATCTCATGATAAGGTAAAGACTGTTTTTTCTCCATGCACTGATTTCAAGCAGCTCTAGAGCCTTTTTTGTTGTTGTTGTTGTTTTGTTTTGTTTCATTTTTCAGTGGGCTGGGTAAACTTTCTCGGTAGCTGGGTAACTGGCATGACCAGCAGAGGAAACCTTAACTTTTTAGGTCTAAAGACAGCACCTATCTTAAGGATGCAGAACAAAGAGAGGACTTAAGCTAAATCTGCACAAGAGCAGAACCTGGCTTGGCAGTGGAGGTCCTCAGCTGATTTTTCCTCTGAGGAGCAGCAAATGGGCTGACTGCCTTTCTCATTATTTCCTCTGGGTAAACACAAGCAGCAAATCTCTGAGCTAAAGTCTTCGGGCAATAAACTGAGGTAAAGGTAGATGGAAGAAGAATGAGGATGTTTTGGTGTGAGTTAGTATAGGTTATCACTTCTTTTATCTGTTAGTGATGCAACACCAGGGCATGCTTATTTTCTGTCTAAATGACAAAGAATTAACAGTCTTGGACACGAAGTCATTCTATCTCCTTGGATACCAGGGAATGTATTAATTGAAATGCATTTAATGCTGACCAAATCCCTGCCAATAAAAATAATTACTGGAGAACAGATCTCTGTGTTTCCTTTGGAAAAAGGAGCAAAGACCTGGTAGTGAGAAACAGGTTTTTGACTGAGTGACTGTTTACACACGTATCTAGGGAATGTTATCAATATATTCCAAATACCCAGGGGAGCTTGTACCCAATAAATGATCAAATAGTGCTGAATTGTGGGAAATAAGTCCCAAGTTTGTAACACATGGGGTAAGCTACAGTAAGACATCAACAGCAAGAAACAGCCACTTTAGTCACAAGGCAATAGTTCCAACATGCCTAGTATCTCCGTTTAGTCCCCCGACAGAATCCTGATGGGCTGACCTTATGAAATGCCGCTGAATAATAATTACTGCATGATCCTGATGCTCATAGCATCCCAAGAATCATGTTTCTACCTTGTCTATTGGCTTCTCAGCGCCACACAACCTGCATTTTCCTTCGGGGTGGGAGAAAATTTACAGTTAAAAGGCAGACACACACGATCTGCTCATCATTTACTTTGGAAACTAAACACAATTCCGGGTGCTGCCGAGTACTAAAGTGGGGATCTGCCTGACTTGGTGAAGTGGTAGCCACCTCAGGATCCTCAGTTCCAGGAGGTTCTGAGCAGCAGCCTTGTCTACCTGGAGACATTTCCTTCCTTTTTCACCAAGTTCAGGAATGAGGGGCTGACACTGGACACCTGCAGGAGAGCAGGAGCTGAACCCCGCAGGTGCTCACAGAACCTTGCATCTGACAACACTTTCCTAGTCTGGCCCCCAGAGCTAGGAGCCAGAGGGCAGAGAGTGGGGTGAGGGGGCGGGGCGGGCGAGGCTCTGCCCTCAGGTTACTTACTCGACCTGGCACAGGCGCCTGCAAACCAGAGCCTGCAGCAGCCTCCACCTCGTTTGCTTTCGAGAGGTTGGACATAGACTAGGACCCAGAGAAGCTCGCAGGGAGCCATGGGGAGCCGTGTTTCTCGGGAAGATTTTGAGTGGGTCGACACGGATGAGCCTCATGCGCAGAGGAAACGAGAGATCCTGGGTGAGGTCTTATGCATATGCTCCAGAGTGTGTAGTGTGGCCACTGCTCAGGCCCTCAACAGAAGGAGAGGCCTGGGCAGACTCAGGGTGCTCACAGCCTTGGGGATGCATGGGACTTCACCGATCCCCAAGACGTACTATCTGTTTGGTGAAGAGGCACAGGCCAGACCCTGAACATGGCACCCTCTGCCCAACCTGCTGAATCAGGTTATGGAGCACCAGACTGAGACATCCCAGGCCTTATCCACTAGCTAGGAGACTCTTAGGATGTCCGGTGGGCAGTGGCTTTCCTAAGTAGCCTGTCACTGGGGTGTGAGGCTAAGGAGGTGCTCCTGGGAAATCCTGGGGTCCCTGGAGTCAAGTACACCTGAAACAATGCAGGTAAGTCCCAGTGAGGGGACACCACTACCCTGGGACCACAGGGCTTGTTGGAGAGGACAGATCCTGGTGTGCTCACATCTCCTGTCTTTGTAACTCTACCACAAACCTGGGACACCAAGGGCAGTTCATAGACAATTCTCATCTTTTTTGGTTGTCAGGGTGAAGAAACAGAAACACAGATGACCAGCCAAATACAGAAATACCTGCCTTGTCCTGACAGTTGTTTAGGTTTTGAGGTCAGACCAACCAGGTCTTCCAGCTCTAGGGCACACTGAGCGGTCTGTGTTGACAGGAAGTCTCCCCTCTCTCCCTGGCTGCTTTCATGAGCCGCCAGGCTTCTGAGGTGGATCCTTTATGACATTGCCCAGCTCATCCTCATCGCAGTGCTTTGACTTCCCTGCCTGTTAAAAGATGCAGTGAGAATGAAGGGGACAGATGCCAGGAGGAGGATGCTGACCTGCGTTACACTGCCTGCACAGAGCATGCTCTTAACTTGTCCTCTCTGTTTAAAACCAGACACTACTGGGAGGGGCTTTGAATGTGAGGACCCCTCCCTCCAGTGCTGGGGACCACACCCAGGGTTCACACAGCAGCTCCACACTGTGGCATGCCCCTGGAACTCCCATACAAAATAGCTCCCTAGTTTTCTCTTGACGTCCATGTGACCAATAAAAAGATCAGACCCCAATTTTTATGAGTATCTAAATTTAGAATTTTTTCATTTCATGAATGCATTAACACTAGTGGGTGTGAGAACCTTTAAGTTTCATGGTAAGACAGCATTTTAAAGACTTTTATCTGGTTCAGGGTTTCTTCTTTCTCTCTCTCCAAACAATATTGTAGCTTATTTGTATATATATATATTTGTATATATATAAAATACATATGTACAAATATGTATACATATATATATACATGTATATATATACACACACACACACACATACACACACACACATACAGTTTTTTTCAAGACTGGGTTTCTCTGTGTAGCTTTGAAACCTATCCTGGCACTCCCTGTGTAGACCAGGATGGCCTTGAACTCACAGAGATCTGCCTGTCTCTCCTGTCTCCCAGGCTGCTCCCAAGTGCTGGATTAAAGGTGAGCCCCACCAACACCCAGCAATTTGCACCGTTTTCTGAGATATCATCCATTACCTCTTATCTATACTTCATGTACATATTGTATAAGAATAATGTGATGTCCAACCTTACAGAAACTGACTCTTAAACTTAGCATTTTCTTTAATAGTCAGAAAATCAAGGATGGAAGAAAGTGTTAATTGATGCTTTTCTCAGTGCTGAGCCTTCCCACAAACTTATCACCCATGAACCATCTCACCTGCAAAAGCTGAATGGGCTTTGTATTTCTTGATGAAAAATACTGTTTAACCACTCAGTGTTCGATTCTGAAGAAAGAAAAGAAATAACTTTAAGGAAGAAGAATCTGGGGATTTATTTAAATTACATCATCAAAATGACAATGCACTTTGGAGGAAAAAAGAATCCATACACTTTAAATCTAGTTAGAGCTAGTGTCAAAAGTCTGCCTTGTGCTTTACAAACAAACCCCTGAGGGTATACAAGGACAAAACTCCACCAGCTCTAGTCCAATGGGCTTCTTCTCCTGGGGTGCACTTCAGCTCAAAGGGTGTGTCTGGGGTACAAATGACAAAGAGAGGGGGCTGTGCTTCCCACTGCTGCCTCTTTGGGCCCACACCTCTGAGAGGTCAGAGGACAAGGGCTTCAGCATCTCCCCCTGCTGGAGCTGACAGGGCCACAGACTCCTGCCCCTGCAGAGCTGGCCTCAACAGTGCCCCCCCTCCCCAGGGAACACCAGTTGCAGGGTAGCAGAAGTTACTCTGTGAAGTCCTCACACCTCTTGCTGTCTACAACACACAGCTTGAACCATTAGCATGTCCCCACTGTCATAACACCCTAGAGGACAGTGGCTCTTGCTGACTCTGCATAGTATACATTGTGCCAAAGTCATCACTCACAGCCACAGATGGGATGGGGAGACAATAATGGAGATAACATTGCATCCCAAATGGACACTTCCAGGCACATCTTCAAGGGGAAACCGCTCACTTCCTAAGAATTCCATAACATCGGCAGATATCTGATCTGCCAGACACACCCCAAAATCTCAAATGTACAAGATTTAAGTGAAACGTGGTAATATGATGCCAGAAAAAGACCAAAGTGACTTCTTAGCACTAGAAGCCCTGGAAGGTATTGTGAATGAAATGCTTGTCAAAGAATTGCTGAGAATGGGCTGGGGCTGTAGCTCAGTGGTTGAGTGTTTGTACAGCCTATGTGAGGCCCAGCCACCATCATACTCAATGGGAAGAGAACTGCAAGGATTTCCTCCTCCTTCTGGAACAGGGGTAGCAAGGACAGAAAGGGGTTTATCAGAGTGGCTTACAGGCTGTGCTCTGGGTACTCTCACAATGGCTGTCCTCTGATGGAAGGGTCAAGGATCCAGCAGTTGTTCAGTCCAAGAGACTGGATGTCTCAGCTGTCACATGTGATATTATTTATGATTTATTACAGCTTGCCCGAGGATGCAGAAAGCAAACCTAGCCACAAGCCACAGAGCCAGGCAATGCTGGTACACACCTTTAATCCCAGCAGCCATACTAGCTAGCCATAGAGCCAGGCAGTGGGGACACACACCCTTAATTCCAGGACTCAGGAGACTGGCAGACACATGTAACTGAGCTACAGGAAACTGATCCAGTCTAAAGAGAAACAGTTCACTCAATGGACATCTCAGCACGTGGGATCCTGCGACTTTAATCCCAGGATCTGAGAAGCATAAAAGGAGAAGAAAAGGGTCTCCTGGGAGAGTTTGTCTCCAGCCGTGTTGAGGAGTGCCAGCAGTCAGAGACTGGAGGCTGAGGCTTGGTGGAGGCAGTGTTGCCATTTCAGCTGGGTAGAGGTAACATCTACTGGTGGCTTGGCTGCTTTGATTCCCTGATCTTCTGCTTGAAGCTTGACCCTCAGTATCAGTCTCTGGGTCTTGAGAGCTCCTGCTCTTCAGCCTGCATTGGAATCCTGAAGAAGCAGCAAAGCAATGCCTCGGGAGTAGGGTGGGTGAACTAACTACCAGTGAGAGTGAGGGCAAGCAGGCAAAAAGCAAAAGCTTCCTTCTTCCACGTCCGTTTATGTGCACGGCCACCAGAGAGTTTGGCCTGAATGTAGGATGGATTTTCTACCTCAGAGGATCCAACCAAGAACAATGCATCACAGGTGTGCCCAGCTGCTTGCGTTTTTGTTCATTCCGGAGGGAGCCAATGGGCTACCGATTTAGCTATCACATATGTGTTTTTGGAGAAATACCTATTCAGACATTTTGCAATTTTCCTATTTTATTATCACTTATTTGTTCAAGCTTTAAAATTCCTTATACATGCTACATAAAGTTCCCTTATCAAGTACATAACTTCAAGATGCAATTCCCCATGTTTGGAATAGTCTTCATTTTTTAAATGGCACCAATTGCAGTGGAAAAGATTTTAATGCAACCCAATTTCTTCTTGTTTTCTTTAATCCAATGCCTTTAAGTAGGACACATAAGAAATCACAGAGGTCAGAAAGTCTCACATCAGTGTTTTCTTCTGAGTTTTGTGATTCTACCATTAGGTCTTTGGCAGGGTTTTAGTTAATAGCTGTGCATGCTTAAAGGAAGGAGTCCAACTTCGTTATTCTATATGTTGATAATATGTTGTCCTATCATCATTTCATGTAAAGGCTCATTTTGCTATGCTGGCACTCTTGAGCTATTGTATTTTTATTTTATCTATTACTACTTTTTGAAAATTCATTACAGATGATAGGAATGCGTTCATTTGCCCATGAGAACCATGGAGATAACTTTCACATTGTAGAACCTTAAAATGTACCTATCCTTTGTCAGATGTGTTAGTAATGTAAAGATTCTAGGACTCTGTCAAGGCATAGTTAGAACACATCGTTGAACAGATGTGGACTATTCAGTGAGGTGTAGTGGCACATGCCTTTAAGCCCAGCACTCGGGATGCAGAGTCAAGCAGTTCTCAGTGAGTTCAAGGCCAGCCTGGTCTACACTGTGAGTTCCAGGACAGCCAGAGGTACATTGTGATACCCTGTTGGGCAGGTGAGAAAGAAGAAGAAAAGATATGGACATTAGATATTTTTAGTAAGTTCTCAAGTTATTATGTTACAGTATATTAGAACTTGCCATCAGAATATTGTCTCCCAGTAGCATGTACATATTCTGTTATGCTTTTAATACCAGGAATATTATGATTTTGAGACAAGATGTAATTAATGAGTTAACTTTACTATAATTTCTTATGTGTGTGTGATCTATGTGTGCATGGTATATGTGCATGGTGTGCGTGTACATGTGTGTGAGGATTCACAGCACCTGTGTGCACAGAGTCCAGAGGGTGTCACGGATTGTCCTGCTCTGTCACTCTCTATATTATTCTCTTCAGACAAGGTCTCTCACTGAACATGGAGCTAGGCTGGTGGTCAGCAGGCCTGGGGGATCCCCTGTTCCATTCTACAGGGTTAGGGCTACAGGCATGGGGAGCCATACCTGTAGCTTTGCCTCAGTATGGAAATTGAATTGGGTCCTCGTGCTTACACAGCAAGTGCTTTTACCCCCTGAGCCATCTCCCCAACTCCTTCAAGTATAATTTCTCCTATGTGTTCACTTAAACATAACTGATTATAACTCTATAATTATACTAGTCTCCACCTATGATTCTTACTGTGTTTTCTTTTCTTACAGCAAAGTATCCAGAGATCAAATCCTTGATGAAACCTGACCCCAACCTGATCTGGACCATATCCATGATGGTTCTTGCCCAGCTGGTTTCATTCTACTTAGTTCAAGACTTGGACTGGAAGTGGGTTCTAGTTTGGTCTTATGTCTTTGGTAGCACCATTAACCACTCAGTGACTCTGGGGATGCATGAGATTTCCCACAGTTTCCCCTTTGGCCACCACAGGGCGCTGTGGAACAGCTGGTTTGGAATATTTGCTAACCTCCCTTTGGGAATTCCGATTTCAGTTTCCTACAAAAAATACCACATGGACCACCATCGGCACCTGGGAGTTGGTGGCCTTGATGTAGGTATTCCCACTGATTTTGAGGCCTGGTTCTTCTGCACCACTTTCAGGAAACTTGTCTGGGTGACTTTTCAGCCTCTCTTTGTGCTTTTACGACCTCTAGTTATCAACCAGAAACCAATTACCTATCTGGAAATCATCAATACTGTGACCCAGATAATTTTTGACATTATAGTTTATTATGTTTTTGGAATTAAATCTTTAGTCTACATGTTGGCAGCTGCTCTGCTTGGCCTGGGTTTTCAACCAATTGCTGGGCATTTTATAGCTGACCATTACATGTTCTTAAAGGGACACGAAACATACTCATATTATGGGCCTCTGAATTTCCTGACCTTCAATGTTGGCTACCATAATGAACACCATGACTTCCCCAACATTCCAGGAAAAAACCTGCCCTTGGTAAGTGAAAGATTTGGTAAATATTTTCATTTCTTTCTTCTTTTTATCTTTTTTTTTTTTTGGTTTTTCGAGACAGGGTTTCATTGTATTGTTTTGGTGGCTGTCCTGGAACTGCCTCTGTAGAAAAGGCTAGCCTCGAACTCACAGAGATCCACCAGGCTCTGCCTCCCGAGTGCTGGGATTAAAGGCATGTGACACCAACGCCCGACCAATATTTTCATTTCTAATAGCTGTATACTCCAAATTAGTCTTCACTGGATCATTTTCAAAGAAAACTAGTTATCAACCAAAGTTGCTCATTAAAATGAAAATCAAAGTGTAATTTAACATCTAATATCCAACAGGCCAGTTTTTACGAAGGGTGCTCTTTTAAAAAGATCCTTAAACTTAGTGGTTACATTTAAGGTTTAGAAGTATTGGGGCACATGTAACGTCTGCTATCCAGTAAATAACTGTTTTAGTGTCTCAGTGTCTGTTTTATTGCTGCAAAGAGACACCACTGCCAAGGCAACTTTAAAAGAAAGCATTTACCTGGTGGCTGGCTCATGTTCCAGAGGGTTAGTCCATGATCGCCACTGCCAAGGCAACTTTAAAAGAAAGCATTTACCTGGTGGCTGGCTCATGTTCCAGAGGGTTAGTCCATGATCGCCACGGCAGGGGCGTGGCAGCAGGCAAGCTTGGGGCTGGATGAGACTGGAGCAGGCAGGGTCTGTGAGGCCTCACTCCAGTGACACTCCTCCTCCAACAAGGCCACACCTCCCAATCCTTCCCATGGGGCCAATGTCACAAACTGAGAATTAGGACACAGATCCTCCTGTGATGTGCACAGCAATCCCGGGGTGAGGAGCTTTGTGTCACTGTCACGCTGATGTGCTTTGCTAAAAAGCGTGGACTGGTTCACAAAATACTATTGTTGCTTTGTGAAACTCAGTACAGAAATACTTGGAGCAAGTGTGTTTGTCCATTAGAACCATGAAATCCTGCACAAGTGTTCTGAAAAATGGGTAGACATCATTTTCAATGCTATATATGTTCCTGGCATGGACTATCATTTTTTTCCTTGCACATATTGTATAATGTGTTATATAGTAAAAGTGTTTTCTGGCTTAAAGAGTGGCACCTTTTGGAAACACGAGTTGACACATTGAGGGATGAATACCAATGATAAGTTTTCTGGAACTCATGCATGAGATCTGCAATTTAATGTCAGTAGGTTCATCAGGGAGAACAAAGAGTGTGGGTTTGCATTGGCAGAACATTACAGAGGGTAACTGTCACAGGTAACTGTGCCACACCTTTAACTTCGTGATGGGCACATGAGGACCACTGTGTTCAACAGGCTCAAATTTTTAAGGAGAAAGTGTCTGAGGAAAGCAACAGCTCCCTGTGTGAACACAAGCTGGAACACGTGGTCTCTGATGCCGGCCCCCAGTTCCTTAGTGTCTGTCTGCCCTGAGTCTCTATTGTGGCTTTAGTTGAAGACCGTTGTGTGTGTGTGAATGCCTGCATGCATGCATGTGCAGTACATGCATATTTTGTGCTGGAGGAGACCAGAAGAGGGCGTCAGATCTTCTGGAACTGGAGTTACAGGCAGCTGTGAGCTGCCATGGGTGCTGGGAACTGAACTCGGGTCCTCTGAGGGATGAAGGTGCTGAGCCATTTCTCTAGCCTAGGATGTATAATTTTTAAGCGGGTCTGCCTTAGAGTCTAACTCACTAGTCCTGTGAACACACAGATTTTTCCAACATAATCCCCATAGAAAGGTGTGTGTAACTTTCTGCAGCAATCCTAATACTGGAAACTCAGTTTAGGTCAACATCTTGACTTAAAGCCATGGTAACTCCCTTGTGATTCACAGCCCTCTCTCTTCCTGCTGTTTCTTTTACTGAGCTAATCTTACAAACATCCCTAGATTTCTCTCCAGTTTTCCCTAAACTTTCTATGATACATATCAAGGAACATCGTGCTTTGTTTCTTGATAACTTGCTGGTATTTTACAGTTGATTACAGCATTTCCATATTTATGCCTAATAAATGATTACTGGGAATGCGATACTAGCATGGGCATTTTGTTTGGTCATTTGCTTTTTAGTGGCACTAGAAATGAAACCATGGTATAATGCATGCTAGGCAAACAGGGCATCACTGAGCTCCACCTCCAGTGCTTTTTAACTTTAATAGCTATATTAAAACACAGCTCACACACAGTGCTAAATATAATGCCACATAAATTTAGTCCCAGCACTTGGAAGGCAGAGACAGGCAGATCTCCAAATTCAAGGCTAGCCTGGTCTACAGAACTAGTTCCAGGACACCCAGGGATATACAGAGAATTCTTGTGTTGAAAAATCAAAATACATAAATCTATATCTATCTACACACACACACATGTTGTGTGTGTATAACCCGCATAAAAAATAGCCATTTGAAGTAGGTTTTAGAATATTCATACAGCATGCAGCTATCCCATTAATCAATTGCAAACCATTTCCATTATAAAATTATTTTAAAATCCAAACTTACATTTCTCTCTCTCTCTCTCTCTCTCTCTCTCTCTTTCTCTCTCTCTCCATCTCTGTCTCTCTCTTTCTCTGTGTCTTCAAGTCAGAGAACAGTTTGTAAAGAGTTGGTTCTCTCCTTCTACCATGTGGATTCTTGAAGCATCAATCTAATTAATCTTTATCAATAAAAATTTGGGAGTCAGATATTGGGGTACGAACCTGAAAGATCAGAGAACAGGGAGCAGCCTCCAGTTTTCCCTATCTCTTCCTTTCCTTAGTCCAAAAGGGTCAAGATCCTCCGCACACCCCGACTACTTCCTGTCTCCTCTATCTACAGTCCTCCAAGCCTCTATGGTCAGCTAGTGGCTAGCTCTGCCCTCTGACTAAAGCAAGTTGTATTTGTCAGAACACAATTGAAGTATCACACAACAGAGTCTGGGAATTGGATTCAGAGCTTTAGGATTGGCAGCAATGCCTTTACCTGCTGAGTGATCTCACAGCCCACCACTAAGCTTGCATTTCCAAATACTCACAACTTATAAAACATATAGATGTTATAAACACAGCATGCCTGCATTACAACAATAGACATCCAAGTATTATGTTGGCATTTTAATAATATTGGACACACGGCTAAATAAATTGCCTAGAATTTATAATCCATACATAATGTTGAAATTTTATTCATTTCTATCTTTCCTACCTTAAATGTTTATAATTTATCATCTTTCATGTCATCCTGGTTGATAATATACTTTTAGTCTTAATGAATGTATTAAATGTTTATCCAGCTGGCTCTGTTGTTTAACAAGTTTGGATCTCCAGGGTCTTTGTATTCCAGCTGCTAAACTAAATTGGTTGCTTTGTCATAAGTTCAGCGTTGACCACGAGGCCGAGATATTTATGTGTGTGTGACCTGCAGTCTTACTCAGGAAGAGCTGCAGGGAGTCTGAAGGGCTGTGCCGAGGTGCTGCCCTTTGGCTGAGTTGGTACCTTGTCCCTCTGTCTGTCAGACAGCCACCTGTCCTCTTGAGGCCTCAGTAACAGTCACTGTTCACCTTACTGTGTGTTCACTTCCAGGTGAGGAAAATAGCAGCTGAATACTACGATAAACTCCCCCAGTACAACTCCTGGGTCAAAGTACTGTTTGATTTTGTGATGGATGACACACTGAGTCCCTACTCACGGGTGAAGAGGCTTCAGAAAGGGAAACAGCTTTTGGAGAAACACTCTCAGAATCAAGGCAAATTCTGCAAAGATTTTAAATAGCTGACAATGTGGATTTCTTTTTCTTGTGAAAATTAAGGTGATGTTCAGAAGCTGACCTGGAAGAATCTCATCTCCATATATCAAGAAGCTGCCATGGTTTCCTGTCCATCTCAGTTTGTCCCAGAGCTCAACTGTGTGCCTGTCCAAGTGCCATCCCTGAGAAAAGTTCACCCTTGTCTGTCATTTTGCAAACATATTACGAAACTGCTCATCTCTAATAAATGATTTTTGTCACACATTTTTACCTTTAAAATAGCTAGCAGCCTAAGATATTAAACATAACGTATCAGGAGCTATTGTTTTTTTTTGTATTCTTTTCTTAATTTCATATGGTTACCAGGTTATTAGGGGAGATATTTTAAATTTTCCTTTCAAAGGATTTTTTTTATTTGAGTGCTTTCTTTAGTTCTGGGGGAGGGGAAGTTACTGATCTCACTGGCCTCAAGCTCTGAGTCTCTGTGTGGGATGGCACATGCAGGTTGTAGCTGATGGAAAGACAATGGTCCCCAAAGAGAGCAACACTATTAGGAGGTGTGCCCTTGTCGGAGGAAGAGAGTCTTTGTCGGGCGGGCTTTGAATTCTTATCTCAAGCTTCACTCAGTCATTCAACTTCCTGATGCCTTTTGGTCAAGATGTAGCCAGCACCACGTCTGCCTTCACCTCGCTGTGCTCCCCATCATGACGACAACAGACTGAACCTCTGAATCTGCAAGCTGCCACCTCAGTGAAACGTCTTCCCTATAAGAGTTGCTGTGGTCATGGTGTCCTAAACTAAGACACAAGTATCAGTGCCTGAGGACGCAGGGGGATCCTCTTTGTTGCTGTGTGGACACCATATCCATGCAGTGGCTAAAAGCACTGGCCGCTCTTGCAGAGGACCCAGTAGCCACATGATGGCTCACAGCTGTTTGTAACTCCAGTTCCAGGGGATCTGCTGCCCTCCTGTGGCTGCCATAGGTACTGCATCACACGGTGCATAAACATACACAAAGGCAACACACATACACAAAATAATAAAGTAATTTTATAAAGAAGATAGCAGAATCAAGTCACATCATTAGTTCACACATACAGACCCACAAGAGGTTTTCCTGAGTCCTACCAATTGACAACAGACTCCATGGACTGCTATCCAAATCTCCAACAGGTCTTCCTGTAGAAAGTGGTGGTCTGACAAATGTTTTGCAGAAATACAGAGGCACTAAAAGATACCAAGAATATATAAGAAATTCATTTTCATAAGTTAACATGCTAGTCCATTGAGGAAATAAGTCAAAATTTTACAATTTTTTAAAGGTTTATTTATTTATTGTGTATACAGTATTCTGTGTGCATGCATGCCTGCAGGCCAGAAGAGGGCACCAGATCTCATTACAGATGGCTGTGAGCCACCAGGTGGTTGCTGCAAATTGAACTCAGAATTCTAGAAGAACGGCCAGTGCTCCTAACCACTGGGTCATCTCTCCAAGCCACTGTCTTTCAAACTTTTTAATAGTTTATTTATTGGTTGTTGTAGTGTGTATTGGAGTTAGGTGTGTGCATGCCACTGTGTTCATGTGAAGACAGTCAGAGGGCATCTCTGAGGCTGCTTTTTTCTTTCCACCTTCTCCTGTGTCCAGGGATTGAACTCAGGTCAGTAAGTTTGTGTGGCAAGTACTTTTACCCCTGAGCATTCTCACCAGCTGGGAAAGCCATGCCCTTTCAACAGCAAGGACTACAGTGGACAGCCACATGGAAAAATATCAACTACAAGTCCTACCTCACTTCAAATCCAAAGTCTCCCACTACCATTTCTTTTCCTCAGGGCTCTCTTCAGCTGATGGTCAAAAAATACTCTGGATGACAACTGCATCTGTACTGAACATTCATGAGCCTCTCCTTGCCCATAGACACACTCTTCTGTAGCAGTTACCAAATAATGAACCATTACACAGCAGTGTGAATTCCTCACTGTGGTAGGGACTATGTATCCCCCAGCACTTACTTCAGAGAAGGACTAGATATGTACACACCGTATGCAAATAATGCTGCATTTTACTGAAGGGATTTGAGTAGCCATAGATTGCAGTATCTGTTGTAATTTAAAAAAAAATGTGGTTCAAGAGAGAAAGATGCCATGTGACAGAATTCAAGCAGAGGGGTTTTTCTTAAGGGAAAAGGACCATAAATAGGGGAAAGGGGGGGAGACCAGCCTCTGGGGACAGGAGCAGCGGGAGAGAAGAAAGAGAGGAAAGAGAGGCAGAGAGAGAGGTGGGAACAGACAGAGAGGAGAGAGAGAGAAATAGGGATGGGAGGTCTGCAGGGTCCTTTTAAAAGGGAACATAGTGAATATGCACAGGTGATGCTCTTACTGACTGCAGCTGTCAGAACCCCAAGGACAGGTCAGTACAGATGCTTAAATACTCACAGTATCTGTAGCAGTGCTGAAACTAATCCCCAACACTAGGTGGTCTTTCAGATGTCAGCATAAACGGAAAATGAATAGTACACCTAAATCTGACAGCAAAAACTACCATATTTCCAAAAAAGAAAATTTTGCAAACTTAGGAAGTACAAGATTTCTTATGACAAAAGTATACCATGCAAGATGAAAAGACAGACATTCTTTAACTAAAAAACTGGTTGTTCCCTGAAGGACATTAAACTATGGAATAAAACAGATTGAAAGCTGGGCAGTGGTGGTGCAAGCCTTTATTCCCAGAACTTGGGAGGCAGAGGCAGTTGGATCTTCAAGTTTGAGGTTTGCCTGGTCTACTAAGTCATTTTCAGGAGAGCCAAGGCTACACAGAAAAGTTCTGTCTTGAAAAACCAAGAAAACAACAACAACAATCAGTCAATCAATCAAACAGACAAACATACAAAGAAAAAACATATCAGAAAAATGTATACGTATAGTTTTCAGCTTGTACATTTTATAAAGACTTCAATCCATGACAAGCAAGATTTCTACTTTAACTCATTAATAAAGTGATATCAGCTAATTTTTATTTAAGAGACAAACAATGTAGGCAAACAGCAGGAATTTTAAATCAGCATATTAGATTACATAACCAACGTACATTTCTGTTGAAAGAACGGTGTCATGGTGAGAATTGGAGGAAGGGGAGGACAGTGTTCTAAGAGACTCCCCATCCCCAGGGGATGAGAATCAGATGGGCATCAGGGAAGGCTGGCTGTGGGTCCTTCTCCCCCTGAATAGGAATGTAGATTGGGAACCTATGTCTGAGTACAGCATGTACCCAGAACCTAAGCAAAGTACACAAGAAATTAAAGAGTCACAGAAATCCTCTTGTGATTAACACACAGATGCTGAGAACTGATGACAATCTGAATCACAAGCTACCAAGCTGCTTTTAAATTCAAACATGAATATTTCCTGCACATGAACACTAGACAAGGCGACTCTGCAGTGTGTTACACAGATCTAGCACACAATACAGGCACACAGAACACACACACAACACACACACACAACACACACACACACAACACAGACAGACACACGTATAGACTGTCAGAACTCTCTCCTTCTCTAAATATTACGAATGAATGTGTCTGGTTAGCTTTTGTGCAATTATCAGAATGAGTATGTGTTATTCATGTGAAACAGAGTTAAAAGTTTATATTTACTTTTACCTAATTAAATAATACACAGTAGAAATCTTACTTTTCTCTGCAGATGTCTGGCAAGAGTTCATAATCAAGAAAAAGCATTGTGTTTGTTGGCTCTAATGTCAGAGATAATATAATGGGACCAGCCACCAAACCTGACACCTGACATGATTCCTGGGACACATATACGTGGTGAAAGGGGAAGCTGGAAATTGTTGTCAGTTCTCTTCACACTATGGCACATCTGTGAATGTATGTTCACAAGTGCACACACATAAACATGTTAAATAAAGAAGATGTAATAAATTGTCCAAGATATATTGTAATGAACAAGATAGAAATTATCTGCCAAGACTCATATTTGTAGGAGATAGAAGACCAAGATTGTTTTTGTGTTGGTTTTTGTTTTGAGAACTGTTTCCTAAAGACTTATAAACCTTCACATTTTCTCCCTACTGAGGGATATCCATGTCTAAATAACCTCAGAGCTAAGTATCATTCCCTTTGTAGCACAGAAACAAATGTACTGGGTGAGAGGTGTGTTCAGTGGTAGAGTGTACTCGGCGTGCATAAACCTCTGGTGAATTCAGTTCAGTGTATTCAGCATGCATTGGCTCTGGTGAATTCCCGCTGTGATAAAGAGAGAGGGGAGAGATTAAGAACATTTACTGTTACTGTATTAACTAAAACTTTCCATTCAACACATGTATAAACTACTAGCTGTGGACTGACCTGGAGGTTCATCTTAGTGTCAGGGGACGTGCTTAGTGAGGACAAGGTCCTGGATTCGCCCCAGAATTTTAAAAAAAAGCCTATGGTTTATTATTTACTGAAGTGAAGATGGATTGAGATAAAGAAGTCCTGGAGATGGGCACACAGGTCATTAGGCTCCAGGATTTATCACGACAGAGGATAGCATAAAGGAGTTGCAAGTTACTAATACCTGGTAAATATTAAATGTTCTGGGTGTTGGTTATTTCTGTAGGGAACTTTTCCTAATGACATTTTATGTGTACCATCTCTATTCTCAGTTCTATATGAACTTTACTTTGGCAGGAAATATTACTTACTATACTTCTTAGTAAACATTTGTAGTTTTGCACACAAATTGTTTTTCTTGACATATTCTGCAAATTTTTGGTAGCAGACATATTATGAAGCAAACATAGTTTACCCTACCTAGTGTGAAAGAATGATCGGATGGCACCACTTTTCCCAAACAGAGGCCAGGAATTAAGGAAACACATGAGGTGCGAGACTGCTGAGCTCAGTTCAGTTTTGCCAAGCTTGCTGTGTGTGCACTTAAAGGCTAGAGCCGAGGGCTTACGAGGAACTTAACTGGAAACACCAAAAGCTAGATTCATTTGCTGTGTTGTCATGGGGAACTT